TTCATTTATTTCTATGACTATTCCTTTTTTCTTTCCTTAAGCCTACACACATTGTTAAACACACTGTAACCTGTTTAGAGGGTTTTCTATCTGGACCTCTTTTATTGTGTATCTTCAGCCTTTTTTGACCATATGAACAAACCTTTAAACTGCTAACCTACATGTGGATCCTCTGCACCTAGCTCTCAGCTGGTTCTGCCCACTTATCGAGTTGTGAAAACTAAGCATGAAGCTCAAGGCCAGTTGGAGGTTTGTCTGACCAGGACCTGTATTCAATCTTCCTAGAGCTCTAGAATGCTGATGCTTGCACTGTGGCAGGCATTTTTACTTAGTTTTTTATTCCTACTTATTGTTCTAACTAATCAAGGGCTTGCCAGTAGGCAGAAACTGTTAAAGGAGCCATATCCTCTTTTTTTTTTTTTTCTCAAAGCTTTCTCAGGCCCTATGGAAAATATGAGCGCCACATTGGTACTTCAAAATGTTGTTCTTTGTTTTGGCTCTTTTGGGGGGCCCACCACCCAGCTCTCAAATAAATCACACATGGAGGATCATTATTATTTATAAATGTCCAGCCTTAGCTTGGCTTATTTCTTGCCAGCTTTCATTAACTTAAATTATGTCATCTACTTACCTTTTGCTCCTGGGCTTTTCCCATTTTCCTACTTCTATAAATCTTACTCTTACTCTGTGGCTTGCTGTGTAGCTGGGTGGCTGGCCCCTGGAGTTCTCCTTCTTCTCTGCCTACTTTTTCTTTCCTCCCAGATTTCTCCTTCTATATATTCTCTCTGCCAACCCCACCTATCCTTTCTCCTGCCTTGTTATTGGCTGTTCAGATCTTTATTAGACCATCAGGTGTTTTAGACAGGCACAGTAACACAGCTTCACAGAGTTAAACAAATGCAACATAAACAAAAATAATGTACCTTAAAATAATATTCTACAACAGCTAGTTATTAGTGTGGTTCATTGATGTTATATAATAGCTGAGTAGGACTGTTGGTTACTTCCCTCTTTTGAAAGCCAGCATGGCCTCTTTTAGTACCATGAAAGCTTGTGCATAAGGAGGAAGATTTCAGGTAAGTTCCAGGTCAGGAGCTTCTAGGCCCTGGGTTTGAAACGTATAGTGTCTTTAGAAATAGGGACTTACCTTCCACCTGGGGGTGAGGGGACAGTAAAGGGTAATGGCAATAGCTTTTAATGTTTTGGGAATCTCTTAGACAACCTTGACCAACAACTCCAAAGAAGGCTGCTTATGCTTGGTGTTGGGATTTTGTTAGATGGTATTTGATTCTTAGAGGGGGCATTGTAAACCCAGATGAGAAAACTTCATTTGAACTATATGTATATGTTTGTTTAAACACAGATTTATATGTATCATAGTTTTTTGGTAGACAGTAAACAGTACAATTCTTCATAACTTTTAAAGCATCCTTACTGTTATTTTAACCCTCCTATCTCCTTCTGTATTTATATCTCCCCTGTCTAATTAGAGCCCTCCCTGTTCTTTCCCTTTCCCCAGTCAGATCACTTATACTCTGCTTTTCTCCTCTCTAATGATCCCAGTGGTAGTTCTTTCTTACTTTCCTAGTTTCTGTAGTTATTTCAAGATGTATGCTCACATTTCAATATTTGGGTCTAGGAGCCTCAGATGAGAGAGAACATGTAACATTTGTCTTTCTGTGTCTGGGTTTACCTCACTTAATATGACCTTTCCTAGTCCTGTCTATTTACTTGCAAATTTCTATGGTGATATTTTATTTGTATTAAAATGTTATTTGTGTGTTAATAAATAAAGTTACCCAGGGGTCAGAGCTATTAGCAAGCCATAGGAAAGCAGGGCAGTGGTGGCGTACGCTTGTAATCCCAGCACTTGGTAGGCAGAGTTGGGTAAGTCTCTGTGTGTTCAGGGATCCAGCCATTATTGGATACACATGCCTTTAATCTCAATACCAATCATGGAAAACCTGGAGGCCTATACAGACAGGCCGTGAGGAGGCGGTCATGTGGTTGGGTTTACAACCAATGAGAAGGCAGGACAGGAACTCTATATAAAGACTTTAACACAGGGGTAGCTCTGGTTCGAAGAGGTAGGACCACCGCAGGAGGAAGGGTAAGGTTTTAGCTCTTAGCTCTGACCTCTTGGCTTTCTTCTTTGCATTGGTTCTGTGTTTCTTATTTAATAAGAAGGTTGTTTACATCTACAGATTTCATTTTTTTTAACAACTGAATAGTATCCCATAGTGTATTATGCATCATGTTTTCTTGATCCATTGTTTGGCTGCAGGTCATTTAGGTTGTTTCTACCTCATAGCTATTGTGACTAGAGCATTAATATGGTTGATCAAGTTTCTGTCAAGTAGGGGGAGCAAGTTTCTGTGGAGTAGGATGTCAAGTCCTTTGGACATATGTCAAGGAGTGGTATAACTGGGTCATATGGCAGATTTATTTTTAGGTTTTTGAGAGTTCTCCACACTGATTTCCAGAGTGGCTGGACCAGTTTGGAATCCCACTAACAGTGCTCGAGGGTTCCCTTTTCCTCATACTCCTTCCAGCATTTGCTGTAGGTTGTTTTGTTGATCTTTCCCATTCAGACTGGGGTAAGATGAAATCTCAAAGATGTTTTTATTCGCATTTCCCTAATTATTAAGGATATTAATTATTAAAAGAATATTCATTATTAAGGAATGTTTTTTGAGACATTTCTTAGCCATCTTTTCTTTCTTTCTTTTTTTTTTAATTGAGAATTCTCGTTCATGTCTCAGGTCCATTTTCTGAACGGATTCCCCTTTATTTTTGACTCTTTGACTTTTGAGTTTTTTTAAAAAAAATATACATGAATGTATGTATACTCTGGGTATTACTCCTCTGTCATATATATAGCTGGCAAAGGTCCTATACCATCTATACAGTTCTGTGGGCTTCTGCTTGGTGTTCTCTTTACTTGTGCAGAGGTTTTTTAGTTTTATTAATTCCCATTTGTCACTGTTGGCATTAATTCTTGAGCAACAAATAGAGTAGTATTCAGAAAGTCCTTTCTTCCACCTATATCATGTAGGGTATTTCCGATGTTTTCTTCTAGCAGTTTCAGTTTTAACATTTAGGTATTTGATCCATTTGTAGTTAGTTTTTGTACAAGATGAGAGATAAAGTTCTAATTTCATTCCTCTGCATCTGGACATCCAATTTTCCTAGCACGATTTGTTGAAGATGCTTTCTTTTGTCGTGTGTGTGTGTGTGTGTGTGTGTGTGTGTGTGTGTGTGTGTGTGTGTGTGTGTTGGCACCATTGTCAAATATGAAGTGGCTAAAGTTGCATATACTCACGCTTGGGTCTTTGAGTTTGTTCCATTAGTCTACGTGCCTGTTTTTGTGCCAGCACTGCATTTTTTTTTTATTACTATGGCTCTGTAATATATCCAGAAGGTGAAATAGAAGGTATTATGCCCACAGTATATATTTCTTTCTAGTTCGGAAGATGTAGATTCTAATTCCTCTTTTTAACTTTTTTGTTGTGCTGGGAATTGAACTTTGTGCCTTACAAATGCCAGGCAATCACTCTATCACTGAACTACCTCCCCATTCCACTGTTCTCTTTTTGTTATGTATAGATCACTCTGAAAGGTGTTAAGGAGGGGTGCTAGTCTAAGAAATTCAGACGAGTTAGGTCAGCGCTTCTTTCTAGTGGTTCCTGTTACTGAAGACCACTTTCCACTGAAATTCTCCCTTCTCACTTCCCTATAGCTGGCAGTTTGGAGGTAGATTAGCAAGTCTGTGCTAGGCTTCCTTTGATTGATTGAGTCTCTGAGGTAGAGGGGAGATCGTATCTACCTACATTTACCTTTGTCTGAACTTAGGCTTCTGGAGAAAGTTCTATCATCAAATTTCTGTGGTCCTATATATCGTGTCCTGGCTGTAATCAGGATGGGCGTGGGAAGGTTGTGGGCAGGGAGAAGTGAGGTGTGAATGTGAGGACTGGTGGGTTGGGATCTGGGTGGGTTTGTGCATCTTTCAGCTTCAGACTCCCTTACCACAGTATTGCTTCTGTCTGTCTCCCCTGTCAGTGCTACTGTATCAAGTTCTCTGTGCACTTCCTGTGACCTAGATCTCTTTCTCTTCTAGGCAGTGGCTGAGAGGGAGAGGGAATAAGTGTCCTGGAATGTGTGGCATATATTTTGGAAGCATGGCCATTAAGTGGCATTATATCCTTGATAGAGAATATTTTGACCCAGAAAACATAGTGTGGGAGTATTATCTACCATCTCTTTGAATTGTGAGCATCCTGGAAGATCAGGTATGTATGTAAAGTATTTGACAAAGTAACTCCAGAGTGTTGTCCAAAAGCTTTGCTGATTTATACACTCCCACAGGCTGTGTTTCATGCTTACAACATGCCTTTGTTTCACACTCACACGTGGCATTGCTTAACTCTCCGAATTTTCCTTTTTGCAGTCAAGTCAAAGTCATAATTCACAAAATGACTGGGCTTCCACATGCACCATGAGCTCTGAGTCTTTTTCTGGTCAGTAGCTGACAAGAAGAAAGGTTTAATTAAGAGAGCTGGGAGGGACAGCTGGATGTAGTTGAACTGTAATGGTGGAAGAACTTGAAATCTTTTGTTAGTTCTTCTTTGAGATTTCAGTTTAACTCTGGAAACAGTTGCTCATTCTGACTTCGGGCATTTTCTCTTCTATGCTAAGTGGTGAGACCCAGTCCTATTCTCACTCACTAGGATTCAAATTCTTATTATATCATTTTTGTGAATGTGTCCCGGGAAAACAGTGTTAAAGCAACCTTTGGCTTTCTGAGCAGATGCCCAGTTGTAATTATGGGAAAAAAGATGCACACAGTTCATGGTGAAGTTGTAGAAGTTTATTTTTTACATAGCTATTTGAGCACAGAGTTCATTTCACCCTATTTAATTTTGCTACAGAGATACACACAAGAAAGGAACACTCCTCCAAGTGGGTAGTTTGGTGATCTGGATTATGGGAGACCTTCCAGTTTATGGTGTTACAGAGATTTCACGTGAAGTAGTCCTCATGTAGGTAGTCACTGGGTATATTTTCTCACCTTCAGGACATATGCCCGTAGCTGGCACAACTTCCGCCTTTCCTTGTAGGACAGCACTTGCTACCGAAAGGAAAGCAGAACTGTTAACTCATGAACTCTACATAGCTTCATCTCCACCCTTCCTGATTTTAACATACTCTGATTCCCCTTTCTATACACAAGGTAGAGTTGTTGTTTGAATTCCCTTCCCTTAATTTCAGCTCCTTTTGTCCCCTCATTTCCTTTCAATTTAGTTTCTCATCACTTTCCATTCACTTTCCCCTTTTCTTTCTGCTATAACATTGATTCTTCTACTTATTTTTTTTTTTTATCGCTCTGATACATCCTGACGTTCACTGTTATCTGACATTCATAAGCAGGTAGAAAATGTTCCCACTTACCAGAGACTTGAATATTCCAGAAGAAGTTGTTTGTGGTACATATGCAAGCAGTGTATGCTGCATGAGCAGAAAGATACTCGATGTTTGGATTGTCCTCAGTACTGACTTTTACCTGAGGCAAAGGAAGTGGGGAAGGGTTGAAGAGTTCAATACAGAGAAGGCAGCCTGGGATTGACCATGAAATAAAATAAGCTTTTTCCAGGGTCCTGTGTGAATGGACTGTCAAATATTTCCTCTTAACTATCAGGATACACTTGATGCTTAGCAAGTTGTCTGTAAATGATGTTTTAAATTTAATTTTGACCCCATTGAGTTTAAGAAGGAAAACATCTGATGTTTCCCTTGGCATAGTGAATGACTGAAGTTTAAAAGTGTTTTTACAAGTTGTCATATATCACATTTTTCCATCTAATGGAGTGAAACTGTGTGTGTGTGTGTGTGTGTGTGTGTGTGTGTGTGTGTGTGTGTGTGTGTGTGTCTGTGTATCTGTGTCTGTGTGTGTCTGTGTATGTTTGACTCATCAGCTGGTTTAGGGTTGGGTAACTAAGCACTTTATTTACATTTGTCAGGGCCAAATAGTATCATTGTTGCATTATGTTTAGGGTATTTGTTCTTTTTCATTTGGGCTGAGGCTGAAGATGTCTAAATCAGGGTCAAAGAGAATGACACAAACCCCTCCAGAACCGATAGGTGTTTAAAGCAGGAGACACCAGTTGTCAGCTCTGGTGTGGTGAACTGACTGTGACAAAGACTGACAAACAAATAGAGTTTATAATCCCAACTCTCTGACTTTTGTTTTCTAGCTGTGTGACACAGTTCTTGTCACACTGATTTTTCCTCCTGCCGTCATAAGATGAAAGTATTGATACCTGTATCCCCTGTATGAGTTCATGAATCTTTACTTTCTGAGTGAAATTGACAGGCACCATTTGAGACTTAAAGATGTTCACTATACAAATAAAAACAGTCCCAGGGTGAAAGTTCCCGTCTAACTAATGTTTAGACATTGTTTTTACTTCAGCCAAGAGATATAAAACTTTTAATCAATGGCCAAATATAAGGAATGACTTCTACATAGGTTAAGTAATACTGTGTTCTAAATCGAACAGAGAGAATATCAGGGTATCTGCCCATTACCGGATCAAATACATTTCTAGCATTATTTTTATCTGGGTAAATATCAGGGACTTTTACCCTGTATTTCTATTATGGCTTTTGGTATAAATAAAATTTTCCCTTTTTTTGTAATGGTTTTTTAAATTTTAGTTTTAAAAAAGATTTATGTATATATATTTTATGTGTGTATGGGAGAGAATGTGTGTGTGCACACCCAGTGTCCACAAAGACCAGAAGATGGTGTCAGATGCCCTAGAACATGGCCCACCCATCCTCTGAAAAAGCAAGTGCTCTTAACCACTGAACCATATCTCCAGCCCTCAAACCTTCTTTTTGTATGTCTTTTCTAAAAGTCCAAAGAGAATGTTAAGGAATTGTGAAAGACAATGAGCAGGAGGTGAAGAATTTGGAACAACTGAAGAAGAAAGTAGACCCAGGAATGAAGGTGGAGACAGTGTGTGTCCATGCTTATAGGGTGTAAATGAACCCTCACATTAAGGGACAGCACAGTCACCTCTCTGCTATATTTCTTATACCTGCTAAAGTATGTTGATCAGCCTCTTCTTGACTCTCCACCATTACTGCATGAGGTGGAGTCAGGGGGTGAGAAGGGGTAGGAACATAAGACCAGTAGTGTTTCCTCTTCATTGCAACTCATGTTTAACTTTGTTGCATTGCCATTTTCCTGCTTCCCATTCGTTTTCCTTCCTCCTAAAATTTTCCTCTTGTTTTCTTGTGAAGACCTTTAGCACACAGTTAAAAGCCCCCACTCACCAATCTCCTTCATAACCCTATTACTTTACCTTTAGGAATTTGTAACACATACATTTCTAACACAATTTCTTTGAGTTTCAAAGCTATGTACATAGAAACACTTCAAAGGGCAGCATTTAGCACAATGTCAACTCGCTGAAATTTCTCTATGATAATACTTCTTTTTCATGTTAACTCTCAATTACTCACCGCCATACATTTATCCACATTGTTTGTAATCGTGATTTCTACTATAAATTCATCTGCATTTTCCATTGGAGACATTTCCATGTTTACTGAAAATAGATTGTTCCTGTAACAGTAGAAAAGGCAGAAACAAACAAACAAAAAATCACATTAAAGTCCACTACTCAGGTGTTCTTTTATTAACAGGCAGAGAGTATCAGGAACCAACTGTCGGGGAGACACTTGTAAAGTTCAACACTTTACTCTGGAAGGACCCTCTGCATGCAACTTCTCTCAAAGTAGTCCATGTTTCTAGCCAACACACATATCCAACAAGATGAGACAAATGGAGGCCAGAATATTAAAAAAAATTGATTACAGGCCTGGTCACCTCTTGAATGTGGAGACCTGAATTGGCAAAGCTTCTTTCTCTTTGTCTATTCCCAATCATTATTCCCTGGTGGAGGTTCATAATTTCACAGTTTACCTCAGTGCACTCACCATTCCCTTTTCTTTATACAATTATCTAAAATCCCCCAATCTCTCTTCCTTCCAAAAGGTGAAGTAGCAGAAGGATTTGAAACCCCTAGAGTCCTAATTCAATCATATAGATCAACCAGCTTATAGTAACAACGATTCACCTCAGTTTTTTTTCTTCAGCTCACTGCTCTTTAGCCCTGATGTAGGGAGCTCCAGAAGTTCTAGTTGACAAAAGATTCTATTCTCAATTCAAATCCTCTTGATATCATTCCCTGTGTTGCCCAGACCTCTACCTCTCTTACAGAAATGGTCTCCCTTACCAGGCAAAATTTCCCCATCCAAATCTCCATGGATTCATTACCATCTGGTAGACTCTACTTTCCCACATGGTTCTGTGTGCTGCTAGTAGATTCTGATTTCTCCCTGTAACTCAAGGCTTTCCTCTTGTCAAAAGTCATAGACTCCTTTGTATATCATATTCTCTTTGTAGGAATCAGAATCTGATATTTCTTTCCTCCTTCTGTCACAGACTTAGATAATAGATTTATCACATGAGGAACCTTGGGTAAAGGAACATGTATAGAAGAGTGGGGTACATGATCAAGTTTCTGCATTTTTTTCTTTTGTTTAAACAAACCTGTTCCCATTGTGGTCAACAGAGCCCTACATATTGGAGTTGATGAAGATGTTGGCCTTTACTTTACAATAATTTTTCTATGGCTAGTTTATTAGTTTTGTCTTTGTTGTTATTTGGGTCAAGACATCCACTCTGTTACCAGGGGAGTCTTGAAAGTACCTTCCTTCGCTTCCATAGACAAAGCTTAAAATTAGAGATGAATTATAGCCTATCCATTGCTTATTCCCCAAATATAGGGCAAGCTCACCTCTCTGCTCATATTTCTCATGTTGATGAAAATGATAAGACTATAAACCTAGGCAGAAAAGTCATTTTTAACAGAAACTTTTAATTATCACCTATTCATTTGGTATCAGGACATAGGCTTGAGAAGCTACATATTGCCTCAGAGTTTAGAAAAGTGAAACTCAGAGACACAAATAATGAGAATCCAATATGTGTTCTCATCAAGTAGGAACATATCCTAGGAAGGTGGTGAGGGAGAAGGAGTGCCTTACCTATTGTCCTGACCATAGGCAGTCTCCAGAATTAAGCACATAACCAGGAGATGTATAACAGCTCCCGGCTGGTGGAGAACTTGTAGAGAAAGCATGTTGTAGGAGTTGACACTCCTGAGTCTTGACCATCTGGAACTCAGATCTCTACTTTTATTTGTAGCCAGTGGACAAATGAAGCAGATGGGCAGCTCCACCCAGTTGAAATCGTCATATGTTGGGATCCCTTCCATTGAGACCTTGTTTATTCTTCTGTAACAAAGGTCAGTATTCAGCCGGAACTTCAAATTGGATTATAGTGAATAAGAAATGAGTTTTTCTTTGTTTTGCCAATATGATATTAGAATGTTCTTAGATGATTAAGGTGGGTCCAGTTCCAATTTTTATAAATAAAATTTGTTTTTTTTAAATCCTTGCTTCCTTACCTGCTCTTATTGTGGAGATATGTAAATGTTTATCACTTCTTTCTGTCTTCTGATACCATAGAATCTCACCTACTTAGTAACTCAGAGAACCTCACCTCAAAATTTTTCTGTAGTTGAGCTATGACTACCAATTTTATTATTACTCAGCTCACTTGATTTGTGTCTGTAGGTTCAATGGATCATCAGTAGGATATGATGGTCCTCCCTTGCATACATAGAAAGTTTCTTGAAAATTCAAGGCATATATTTATGAAGAAGTAACATGTGACTAGGGGGGTACAGATAAATTTGATATAATTTTAACCATATCTTCGGAGAGCAAAAACTTGGTCAGCTTAGCTTCTTGTGTATTGGTTCTTCCAGAAGACTTAGGTTCACGTTGAAGGGACTCTGGACAGCCCTAGCGTGGTGAGCATGACTCTGGCAGGCCTTGCCCTTCTCCCCCATTCCCTCTTCCTTGCTAAAAACCATTAGATTACATTCCTAAAGCTATCCACCAAGGTCTGTTCCATTATTTGGACACTTCCTCCTCCTGAGGCTGACTACCAAGGTCTTGCTCTCATAGTATTGAAGTCTAGCACTCAAAAGCCCCTTTTGGCTCACCTAATTAAGATGTCTAATTAAAATTAAACACATTATCTTGACACAAGGTTTCCCTTTGTATTTTTTTTTAAAGATTTATTTATTTATTATGTATACAGCATGTATGAGTGCAGGCCAGAAGAGGGCACCAGATCTCATTACAGATGGTTGTGAGCCACCATGTGGTTGCTGGGAATTGAACTCAGGACCTCTGGAAGAGCAGTCAGTGCTCTTAACCTCTGAGCCATCTCTCCAGCCCTCCCTTTGTATTTTTATAAACTGCTATTTTCCTATATGCTACATCTGTCTCCCCTCTATCCAGAGGCAGCCTTTGTCACTCTAGGACAAATATTCCTGCCCCCTTTCCCTTGTTCCTTTCCCTTCTCCCTTGTCCTTTATCTCCCATCTTTTTCGCTTTTCCCCTGCCCTCTGTCTCTCTGGTACAAATAAATCTCCTTTGTGCTTGGTCTTGGCTGTCCTAAGCAGATACTTTTCCTTTCACACCTTAGCTATGTAGGGATTATAATCCAGAAATTTCCAGGAAAGTTCTTGTCATTCTAGCCCTTTGCTCCTCTAACAGCATTTACCCCTCAGCCTGCTTTTTTCCACCTGTGGGGAGCTCAGATGTGAAGAGAGATGCTGGGCTCCATTTTCAATGGGAATTTGTGCTCACCTCCACTAAACTCCAAGATAATAAGTAAGCTGAAGAAACTCTTGCAGAGTTAGAGTAACTAGGGGACCTATGGATTAGCCCACCTACCGTTGAAATAGGAGAATCTTGGTACCCTGTGTTAGATGGCAAGGTGATGTCTAAGAGTGGATGGATCAGGATAGCTCAGAATTCAGAGTGTCAGCTATTCCAGGATTCTCCCTGAGATAGAGTGCTGAGGTGACAGGATCTCGAGTTTACATGTGGTTTGAGATGGCATCTGCTCCATTAGCTTTTTATTTTACCAGTGTCGCCTGTGGATTGGGAGGGGCTATACTCAAATACCAGATTCTATGCATCCTTATATTTTTTTAAATATAAACTCATTAAATGAACTTCCTCACTTCCCTTACATCCATTGTTTGCTTAAGAATTTTTTGAGTTTTCTTTCTCTTTTGTTTGACTTACCTGTTTGTCAGTCTTGCTTAATTTTTAAAGAAATAGTTTTTTATTTCATTGATTCCTTGTAATTGTTAAAGTTTCTATTGCTTTAAGTTCAGATAAATGGGGAAAAAGATGACCTGGACCAGCAAGTCATTCTTCAGTGGCAGGGTCCTGGGAGAGAGGACCAGGAGATCAGAAAATAAACAGGATAAAAGTTAGAAAATATAAGAAAGTTTAGGATCAGGAGGTCTTTCAAAAGCTATGTCTTATGAGAAGCAACCTTATTAAGAAGTAAAGCATCTTATATAGTATTTCTGGGGGAGAAACAGAAGAAGTTGGCAGGAAGCTAATTAAATAGTGTTACACAAGGGAACACAGGGTATCTCAAGAATATCACAGACTGGAGCACATAGCAACCTTGAGACTGATAAGCATAGCCCCCTATAATGGGAAGAGTTGGGTTCTTAGGGTCTCTATATATACATCAGGGCCTCAGGGAAAATTGCCCAAAGCCCTTGCCCTAGGGTATTATTGGCTCTGCCAAGCATGTTCCTAGTTTTGAAAAGGAGTTATATTCCTTTTCCATACATCAAGGCCTCAGGGCAAGCCTCAGTTGATCAGGCCAGCTTTCAACAGGAATAAGATAAGGTAACTGAGAGATGAAACATAATCAAATAATGTTACATCTATGGAAAAGCCTGGAACCTTATTTAACCTCAGGAACTATTCTTCATTAAAGACTAATAGTTTAGCCTCTAAACCTATCAGTGCAGGAGGAGGCTGGACATATAGGAAAGACAGCTAAAATTAAAGGCCATTTTAGGGGTGTCAACGAAACAATACAGTAGAAGCTCCCTAAAATATATACAAAAATGAAGGCAAAACAAATAAATTAATGGGGGAGACAGAGCCCCAAATGGGTATCACTTGTTTCCAAATAAAGTTTCCAGTACCAGGATTCTGTTACAGCTGATTTAGTTGTTGGCCCAAGTGGTCCCCTGGGAATTCCCAAACAACCCAGGCTCTTGTGGAGACTACAAGTTGTTCTACACAAATTGACAGCCAAGCCCCACTGCTGAAGACAACACTTACACAACTCATTGAACATGAAGAATTTGAGCTGGTGCCTGCACAGAAATTTCATCCCTACATTTAATGCCTTTGGTGCAGAAAGGTATCTGCAGGCTACCAAAGAGGAAATGTAAACACTAACCCAGTCACAAACCATTTGTTCTACAATGGTGTCCTCTGTACAAAATACGCTAATTCAGTGGTGACACAAAGTTTATGGGAATAATCCACCAATATCTGACTTGACTCAAGTCCTACTTCACCAAATGGAACCCATACTTGACACTGCTTAGGTGACCAAGAATGTGAGACCAGAGAGCCTAGGGACCTAGGGTAGAACCAAATACTACTGTTGTAAAAAAAATAAATAAAGCAAAACAAAACATAAAGTAGCAACAAAATGAATCCTAATGACTCCTTGTTATGCTCATATATCAGCACCTGCTCAGCCATTATCAGAGAAGCTTCCTCCTGCAGCAGATGGGAACAAATACAGGGACCCACAGCCAGACAGCATGCAGAGAGCGAGAGAACTTGGAACACTCAGGCCTAAATCAGATATCTCCATCAAATCTCTCCCCTTGGGGCTCAAGGAACTCTTCAGAAGAAGAGGCAGAAAGAGTGTAAGAGCTGGAGGGGATGAAAGACACCAAGAAAACAAGATCCAAGAAATCAACAAGTACTCTTAACTACTGAGCACACTTTCCATCCCCATCCTTTTTTTAAGTTTTGTTGTTTTGTTTTTCTAATGAGAGGCAGAAATGGAGTGGATTTGTATGGGAGGGGCAGAGGGGATAAAGTAGGAGGAGTAGAGGGCAGGGAAACCATAACTAGGATATATTATATGAAGAAAAAAAATCCATTTTCAATAAAATGAAAAACAATGAAAAAGAAAGAGAAATATCAAAGAATAAAAACAGATTTTCGAGCCAATGGCCCAGCTCTACCAGAAAACAGAGCTCTGTCTTTTCTCTTTTACTTAGCAGTACTTCTGGGATAGACACAGGCTTTGTCTCATGCATCTGGAATTGAGGGGCAGCAATTTATGCTGTTGTAGAGATTTGTATTCACAACACTGTAATACAGTGTAGGGTGTTCATCTCTTTATGTGTCCTTTGCCCTGAGGGTGTCCTAAGAGCCTTTTGGGAGGCATTTCTCCACATTGCAGACCATGGTCCCACCTCATGAATTCATGAAAATGGCACCAATGAAATAAATACGATTTGCTGTACATTGAGCTGATCTGTTTAAAATAAATAACAATACATGGTTTTCAGAAGTAAACGTGTGCTGGATGTGTTATAAGAGAGGTGATATTTACATTAATTAGTGTTTCATTGATTTTCATTTGCAGAAACTCAGGTGGTGGCAGCGTGTTCAGCACCATGGAAGCCAGCCTGGTGATGACAGGAGAGACTGAGGATGGGATGCCAACCACATCATGACAGATGTGCAGGGACAAATGTGTGCACCCGTGTAGGAATGTAAAGCTCCAGGCAATGTGAGCAGGAAGGGTAACTTATCTCTTTTGAATGCAGGTGTATAACTAAATTTGTGTTAATGCTACATGAAAATGTATTTTAACTTTCTGTGCAATGGATGTTGAACTTGGGCAGCATTTTCTCAGGGTCATTTCTGAGTACTTAGTTTACGCTTGATGGAGTAGAGTATAGTAGATTATTGTTTTTCTGCTTTCATGGAGTTGACAGGTTTGGGGGTGACCCTCCACTCAGTTCTGACAATAGTTTTAAATGTCTTAATTCAGGCAATCTCAAGGAATGCAGAGAATATAAGATGGTAGGATGCCTTGCTCATCTTTGAAGGGGGGGGGCTTGGTCCTGCCTCAACTGAATGTACCAGGCTTTGCTGACTCCCCTTGGGAGGCCTTACCCTTTTTGAAGAGGGGATAGGGGTGGGGCAGGGGAGG